AACCCCCCCAGCACTGCGCCACTGAAACAAACAAACAAACAAAAAAACCTCGAGTGCTGCCCTGCCAAACCAAAAAACCCCCACAAGAACCCCGAGCGCCGCCCCGCCACCCAAAGATTGGCCGCCCCTTACAAGGTGCCGCCCCAAGCATGTGCTTGGTCGGCTGGTGCCTGGAGCTGGCCCTGGCCCTGGGGCAAGTGTTTTCGGCTACATCTACACTGCTGCCGGGGGTGTGATTTGCAGCACCTGTAGACGTACCTGGGCTAGCTTTAATCTAGCTGGCTCACTAAAAATAGCACTGAGGACACGGCAGCGCAGGCTGCACAAGTGAGGACATACCAGGGGGTCAGGTCGGCTTGTGCGGACCACAGTGCTGCATTCTCACTGCTCTTTTTAGTGAGCTAGCTAGATTAAAGCTAGCCCAGGTACATCTACATGAGCTGCAAATCACACCCCCAGCTGCAGTGTAAATGTAGTCTTAGTTTCTCTGCGCTGTGTGCCTCAGTTACCCATCTGTACTATGGGGATAATAACACTGTCCTGCCTCACAGAGGTGTTGTGAGGCTGAAGACATTAGACTGTGAGGTGCTCAGAGACTATGGCAATGAGGGTCACATAAGGACCATAGATAGTGTTGTGGTTAAGGCACTGGACTGGGACATCTGTGCCTCTTCTTTGCTCTACCTCTTACTGCATGTGACTTTAGGTAAGTCACCACAACGCTCTCTGCCTCATTTCCCCCCTCTGTACATTAATGCTTCCCTATGTCACAGTTAGGTACGTTCACGAATGTTGGTGAGAGCATCAGGCACCACAGTGATGAGTGCCAGAGTAAATCCGATACATGAATTTAGGTATTATTAGTGACTCAGATAAGGCGTTTCTTAGATGGAACTTGACAGTGACTCTTCTATAGCCGCCACATATCGAATGCTGCTAATGTACAATCCATTTCACATCCATAAAGGAAAAATCTCTACTTTCCTTCCCCTTAGCCCCGACTAAAGAGTTCTTCATTGGCTCTTGTCAGATGCCAGGCTGCTAAGATAAATTGGCTCTCAGCAAGGATTCCTTATCTGTTTAGCCCAGTTCTGAGGTGTGTTAGTTTCTTTATTGAATTCTGGACTGAACGTGGAAGCGCAGGTTAATTTGCTATCAGTGGGATGTCCTTTGAAGAACAGTTTTCTTTGCCTCTTGTCCTTTCCCTGACACTCAGTTTGCCCGCTCCATTTTTCATGTCTCTTCTCTTCATGGGAATTGATTATAGATAAACGCTCATCAAAAAACAGGGCATTTTGGCAAATGCAATTTATTTACCCATTGACGTTTTAATTTGTCACGCTGTGGATGCCTTCAGGATCCAGGGAAGAAGCGCCAAATGGTGTGAAGCTTGTTAACTGGCTCTCAGTGGCGAGGATTTGGAAGCCTGCAGTGCATTGAACTCTCACCATGCGTTTTGCTTTTATCCGATAAATAGCAAAATATCCCCTGATTTCACTATTTCTTGTTTCCCGCTTTATATGGGAAGTAGAAAAACAACAAAAGAACATTCAGGGTGGCAAGATGGCTGATGATGTGCTAGGCAATATGATAGTACAAATAATAAACAATAAGGCCCTCACTGCTGTAGTATCTGACTGCCTCAGAACACTCTTGTGAGGTAGAGAAATACTTTCCCTATTTGACAGATGGGGAACTGAGGCACAGGGCAGATTAAGTGACTTGTCCAAGGTCACACAGAAAAATCTGTGGGTGAGCTGATAGTTGAACCCTTAGCTCCTCAAGCCCTGATTGGTGCTCTGCCCACTAGACCATCCTTCCTACCTAGATGAGATTCAAAGCCTTTCTCCTAAGGACTATTAGCTTAGGTTTGGACCGGGTCCCAAAAAAAGACCTCTAAGGGAGCAACATTTGGTGAGGCTCCCTGCCACCACACTACCACCCTGAAATAAGCTGCAGGGCCCTCTCCCAAACCTGGGGATCCCCAGCGATTGGCAGAAGCTCTGGTCATCTACACAGAAGTCCTGTGCCTCTGTGCTGACTCTCATTAGCAATTATGGGTGCATGCTTTGGTCTGGTCTCCACAGAAAAGACTCTTCTCTCTAGTCTCTTCATACGGAACTTTTACTCCTGCAGTTGTTCCATCCTGCCAGCTTCCTGTGTGGAATAATAGAGCATCTTCAGTGCTCATGGCTGTTCTTTCCATGTCAAGCACTCAGCCACAAACTGAACAACATTGTTTATGATGGCTGAGCAGAGCTGACAACTACCAATGGCCTCTCCAGCTTCTCCTGTAATAGCATGTGTGCAAATATGTGGTATTCTTTCCCCACCTGCTCCAGCCTATTCTAAAAAATCGCCTTTCCAAAATGCAAAAGGCCTGGGGGAAATGGCATAAGAGCTTTTAATATTTGCCTTATGCATTCTTTGTGTCGGCATAAGGGAAGCATCTTTGCACGATGGGCATTTTCTATATCAAATGTCACTTATTTTTAATCAACATATGCTTATTTTCAGAGGCTCCCCAAAACTCATCCTGATTCAGCCAGCTCTCTGGATTTTGGCCCTTCACTGTGGGGACACTTGAATGAAAGGTTCATGGCACTCATGCATTTGGGGGTGAAATTCATCTCTATGCTGGGGCCCAGAACAAAGTCTATGCACCTCTTAAGTCCCCTTTAAGTCCTATTTTGAGATCAGAAGTGATGCATAGTAGTCATAAAGGCTTTCTGAACAAGGGTCAGTTTTACCCTCTCCTTGTTGTTGTTGTTGTTGTCCATTTAATGGTGAACATCTCTGTACTTGGACGAGGCAGTGTAGGCATATGTGGAGGGGTTCTTATTCTAAGTTTGCTTTTGTGTATTGTTTTCTTATTACCATACCAAGGAATCCCAGTCATAGCGCAGGACCCCATTGTGCTCGGCGCTGTACCAGACCCAGAACAAAAAGTCGGTGCCCACCCCATACCTTGGCTCTCCCTCCTCCTCTGCTTCCCCTGAGCAAATTTATCTCCAGTCTTCTTGCTAAAGATTTCCCAAGCTTTCATATGCATCCGAAGAAGTGGGCTGTAGTCCACGAAAGCTTATGCTCTAATAAATTTGTTAGTCTCAAAGGTGCCACAAGTACTCCTGTTCTTCTTCAAGCTTTCATAGTTGCCCAAATCCCAGCAACTGAGTGATCACCTTGTTACCATCCCCATGGAGCTCAGCACGGGGCCAAGGGGTCTGATGGCATGAAGCTGGTTGCAGGATCAGGACCATGGTACAATTCAGATGTGGAATGGTTTGATCAGATGAAGGTCAGTCTCCAGGAAGCACAGATCTCATTGCAAATGCTTTATTCCTTAGAATGGGCGGGGGGATCCCAAGGAATTCTGGTGATGTTGGAAGAGGCAGAGAGCCAGGGGAAAGCTGGCAGGTCTGTGTGGGCCTGGGGGAGGGCTCTGAGGGGATCCTCTCCCCAATCTCCTCGCCTGTGGGTGGCAGGATGGAGGTAAACACGCACCCCAACCTCCTCAGACTTTCTCCGTTCCCCTCCATTCTTCGGTTCCTTCCCAAAGTTTAACTTCTCTCCCCTCCCCCCTTTCTTTCCTCCTCCCTCCCCATCTCTTCTCCCTTCCTTCCTTCTACCCTCTCTCCTCTGAGTCCCCGCCCCTTCAGGGGGAGGCAGCCAGTCAAGGCGAGGCTGTGACATCAGTGCCGTGAAACTGACCCGGGGGAGGGACCGAGGTCGATACATTGTAGCGATTCCTTTTCCTGTCTTCGCGTTCCAAAGAGCGAACGAGCCAGGCACGGGGACGAGCCTGGGGAGGGGGTGGGGGGTTGAGCGGGGGGCAGCAGCGTCTCCCCTTCGGAGACCCGGGGGGTGAGCAGCAGCTCGGAGGGCTCCGAGCCTTCCCCAGGAGAAGGGGCGATTGTTTCCCCTCTCCCCCCCCCTTCCAAAGCTGTGGGGGATTTAGTTCCCCTCCGCCTGTTGAGATCAAACTTCCCACTGTGGGGGGAGGAGGGGACTCGGAGCAAAGGGAAGGAACCGCTGTGGCTGCCCCGGCTTTGCTACAATGCTGTCCAACTCTCCGAACCCGAATCCCCAGGTGCTGTTCCCCACCCCCCCTCCTCCGCCCCCGCCGCCCCCCCATCAGCAGCCGCCGCCCCAGCAGCACCCTCCCGTCCAGCAACAGTTCCCCCAGTTCAACGTGAAATCAGGCCTCCAGATCAAGAAAAATGCCATCACGGATGATTACAAGGTCACCACGCAAGTGCTGGGGCTGGGCATCAACGGGAAAGTTTTGGAAATCTTTAACAAGAAGACTGGAGAGAAATTTGCTCTGAAGGTAAGTGTGCAGGGGGAAGGGAAAGGGGTGTGCGGGGGCTGATGTGCCCACGCCCATCTTTCCGCCTCTGATCCCACATTCCTTATTTCCTCCCCCAAGTTTGCCTCAGACTGTTTTTGGAGGAGTGACACCGAAGTTATTGTGCTGTTAGAGTAGAGGGGAAGGTACCTGCAGTTATTGGGGGGTGGGGATTGATCCATGGTTGCTCCGTGTAAAATTACCGGCAGAATTATTTACAGGTACCTAAAACTGGCCGACAGAAAAAATGGTGCTTTAACTTTGGCCTAGGCAGATATCGCTGAGTCCAGTTGTGAATCTCTTCCCCCTGCCGCGGTGTGGGCACAAATTCCCCACTTACTCACTGCGAAGGGCTAGTTGGGGAAGTTCTACCTCTGCTCTTTTTTTCCGTAGGGTGGGTGGGTGCGGTGGGTGGAGGGGGTTGTTGGATGATCTAATCTCTCTGCCTTTTAAAAAATGAAACTCAGCATTTAATTCCCCTCCCTCCCCCTTGCAAAACAGGACTTCCCAGCGGGAGAGGAGAAACCCCCCCAGAGCCTCCTAGGCCTGTTCACATTGACTGCGTTTGATAGGGCCCTTTCTCTCTCCCCCCCCCTCAAATCTCTGTGTGTGTATGTTAGTCGTGGTTTCCTTGGATCTACTGGTCAAAGCAGTTTGTGTTTGCAGAGGGAGGAGAGAGAGTGTGCTCTGATTTCTTTCCAGAGCCATTATTTTGGTAAAAGGGTGGTGGGAAGGGGAGAAGAAAGAGAAAGGAGCTCCGTAACTTCACAGCTGCCCTTAAGGCCTGTGGGCACTTCAGTGATCACTGCAGGGAAGATTATATCTTGTAAGAGAAATAAATTCTATTGTGGTTTTGAGAACACAACTGCCACCCTCTTTTGTGGTAGTGTCTTTGATTGCACTAGTTTAGGTTCCTTTCCCCTTTTCTGCCTCCTCGCCCCCCCAGACTCTTTACTCCAAATCTGGAATTACTAGTGATTTTTCCCTTTAGAGGTCTGACCTGACTGATATGGCTTAGAAAGAGAGAACTTGAAATTTACCAGCACCAGATAGGGCTTGACAAGGAATGTAAATACAAAAAGCAGAATCTGTTTTAAAGACAAGTGGTCTCTTGGACCGGGGCAGAACCAGTAATTCAGTGCTTTGAAGGGATGCTGTAGAGAGATGATCATATTATGGAGTGTAATAATAAAAATAAATAATTAAAAAAAATCAAATGAACTTTTTAACAAATATGCGTTTTATTTGTTTTTATTGCACTCAGCTGGGACAATGAAACAGGATAGTCAGTTTCACTTTCTGGCTTTACTGCACTCCATTGTTACTGCTCTGTGTTTCCATCACTTTAGAGGAATGTCCAGTTTCCCCTTAAACCATTCTCATTAAGAAAGACAAAATTGGGTTGTATGACATTTTAATTTAAAACAAAGCAAAATGACATGGGAAAGGGATGCCTTAGTGACCTAAGCATCAAGTCTGAAATCCATTGAAACCTCCGGACTTGTCGATTTGATCCAGTGAGTTTACTCTCTGTGCTTTCTGGATAAGCCCTTTAAAATTCAAGGTCCTCTGTGTGGGCACTAAAGATCTCATTGCACTTTGTGTAAGCATAGACGTTGGTCTGGTTTTCCCTGTTTAATTACCCTCCCTGCTCCCCAGTTGTTGTGCAGTGTACTGTACACCAATCTGCTACTGTTCTCCGCCCCAGATGTGGCTATGTTTGTGGTGCTATATCTCTATGCGGTAATCCGTAACATGCCTTTGTTTGAAAGGTTTTCCAATAAATAAGATATTGTACTAAAATATACATTTTGCATCTAAATAACTTGACAGTTTCCCTGTTCTCAAATTATTATTTTTTTGGAGTGGGGGAGGGTATTTCTCTGTTAGAGGGATCCTGTGATATAGGTAATGCTAAGTACTAGGAAAGATGGGTACAATTTTTCTCCTCCAGTGAAGCTGAACATTCCATAGCTTAGGCACAATTTGCTCCCACACATTAGCTGTTCAGAAACACTATACGTTATCCTGTTAATTGTGAAGATTAACCCCCTCCCCCAAAACCTGCTGTTTTGACTGCGTTTTTTTGTTTTTTTTAAGCCAACACATCTGCTTAAAGCCAACAAGTCACTAATCCTAAAATAATAAAGAAGTAGATTTTTGACAAAAAATTCTTCTGTCAGCTATGAACCCCCTTCAGAAGTGAGGTGCCTGCAGGGGGATAAGTTATTAAGACAAATACATTTTCTTGGGGGGAAAAAAAGTTCTTCAAGTTAATCAACTGAATGGCAGATATTTCCCTTTTTTGTCTGGAAATATGGAAGTTTCTCATTAGTTGCAGTGTTATGTTTGAGGAAGACACAGACACGGTAATTTTTCCTTTATGTTGTAAATGAGCGGGATCAGCCTCTGTTTTGACAGACACGCTTTTTTCCTCCATTACATTTAAAGTTGACTCAATGACTTAAATAGCAGTTGCTAATTCTTTCCTGTGTGAAATAACAAAAGCAGAAGAACTAGAGGGTACGGCATAGGGAAAGGGACAGCTTGGGTCAGGAGTCTCCCCATATCAAAATATTGGCTGAGATAATAGCATAGCCTCTGAGCTCTGATTATCTTGTCAGTACCGGAGTGTGATACAATAGACATGTTCAGGATCTAGGTTTGATATATTATTTACATGGATGTACTTAAAGTGCCTTTTACAACACAGGATTTCTATACACCTCTACCCCGATATAACGCGCCCCGATATAACACGAATTCGGATAGAACGCGGTAAAGCAGTGCTGCAGGGGGGCGGGGCTGCACGCTCCGGCAGAGCAAAGCTAGTTCAACGTAACGCGGTTTCACCTATAACGTGGTAAGATTTTTTTTTGGCTCCCGAGGACAGCGTTATATGGGGGTAGAGGTGTATATTAAGAATGGAACATAAATCACAGACTCTCACTTTTTGCTCAGATCTTGTCCCTTGCTCAGTTTCACTAGCTCTTTACCATATAATGAGGGACATATTAAGATGGACAGTTGCGAATGTGTGTGGTCAAATCTCCCTGCTTATGAGTTATGTAACAATGCAGGAGGGAAGTGCAGAATCAATTCACAGAGGCTGATGTATTCAATTCATCTCTGAATTTTTCCTTTGGTAAGTTTTTAAATTTTGATTTTCCATTGCCCATGTTCTTATAGCGAGGAAAAAGTTTAGCTGAGCCATTGAACGTGTCAGTTCAAAGGGCAGCACAGCTGCTGCTGTAAACAACTCCTTACAGCCCAGTAGAAAGTGCTGTGCTGTTAGCTCAGGGTCTTAGCAGAGCAAACTACACTCTGTCGATCTCACACTGACAAGTGTATGTGACATGCTCTTTGTTTGTCCAATGAGTTTCGGATACTCCCTGTCAAGATATAGGCCTAAAAGGTAAACCTCATTAATAGGATGTTTTTGCTCAAATGTAGTGTGTGTATAGATCTAAATGCTGCTTTCTGTTAGTTGGGGGTGGATCTGTTTATAAACCTGTAGAGTGTTGTTCAGAACTTCTGAATGACTCAGAATTATCTGACATACAAACACCATTTGTTGGGGAGGAGTCAACACAGCTTTTGTAAAAGAAAATCATGCCTCACCAATCTATTAGAATTCTTTGAGGGGGATCAACAAGCATCTGTACAGTGGTGATCCAGCTGATATAGTGTACTTGGACTTTCAGAAAGCCTTTAACAAGGTCCCACCCCAAAGGTTCTTATGCCAAGTAAGCTGTCATAGGATAAGAGGGAAGGTCCTCTTATGGGTCAGTAGCTGGTTAAAAGATAGAAAACAAAGGGTAGGAATAAATGGTCAGTTTTCACAGTGGGTAGTTAAGTATTGGGGGTCTCCCAAGGATCTGTACTGGGACCTGTGCAGTTCAACGTGTTCGTAAATGATTCGGAAAAGGGAGTAAACAGTGAGGTGGCGAAGTCTGCAGACAATACAAAATTGCTCAAGACGGTTAAGTCTAAAGTTGTCTGGGAAGAGTTACAAAGGGATCTTACAAAACGGAGTGACTGGGCAACAAAATGGTAGATGAAATTCAGTGTTAATAAATGCAAAGTAATGCACATTGGAAGACCTAATCCCAGCTATACATACAAAATGATGGGTTCTAAATTAGCTGTTACCACTCAAGAAAGAGATCTTGGAGTCATTGTGGATAATTCTCTGAAAACATCTGCTCATTGTGCAGTGTCCATCAAAAAAGCCAACAGTCTGTTAAGAACCATGAGTAAAGGAATAGAGAATAAGAAAGAAAATATCAGAATGCCATTATATAAATCCATGGTACGCCCGCACCCTGAATACTGTGTGTAGTTCTGGTCACCCCATCTCAAAAACGATATATTAAAATTGGAAAAAGTACAAAGAAGGACAACAGAAATGATTAGGGATATGGAAGATCTTCCATATGAGGTGAGATTAAAAAGACTGGAACTGTTCATCTTAGAAAAGAGAAGACTAAGGGAGGAAATGATAGAGGTGTACAAAATCACAAATGGTGTGGAGAAAGTGAATTGTTATTTACCCCTTCACATAACACAAGAACCAGGTATCGCCCAATGAAATTAATAGGCAGCAGGTTTAAAACAAACATAACAAAGTACTTGTTCACACAACACACAATCAACTTGTGGAACTTGTTGCCAGAGGATAATGTGAATGCCAAAAGTATAATTGGGTTAAAAAACTATTTCATTAAGTTAATGGAGGATAGGTCCATTAGTGGCTATTAGCCAGGATAATCAGGGATGCAACCCTATGCTCTGGATGTCCCTAGACCTCTGACTGTCAGAAGCTGGAAGTGGATGATGGGGGATAGATCACTCAATAATTGCTCTGTTCTGTTCAATCCCTCTGAAGCATCTGGTGCTGGCCACTGTTGAAAACAGGATACTGAGCTAGATGGACTAGTGGTCTGATCTTACGTTCTTATGACTCATTATCTGCATCAGAG